CTAAATTTGGAATCATTCCATATCATTATGTACTAATTATAATTCAATAAGTCCTATATTATCTCTTCATGATTGTGAATATCGTAATGCTTTTCTCCTCGGGTCATTCAGCTATTGAGATCTTTTGTATTTTCTTAATAACTTTTTCATAAAAATTTCTAATATCTTAACCTTTTGTCGTTGACCTTCATAATCCTTTTAAGGCATTTGTAATCCAATTATCAGCTCCTTGCATATGATCGGCATTCTTCTGAGATTTATCGTACTTACATCCAAACACCAAAACATCTTTCTCTAAGCCATTAGAAGACAATTTTTCCGTCTTACCGCCTGCTGACTCAGCTCAACGATGTCCGCTATCGCTCTATGTCATCAGTAAACTTTGGCAATCATTTTAGCAGAACGTTGATCACCTGCTGGTTTTTTTGTTGCGGAAAACAAATATCTTCCAATTGAAGTTAGGAATCGTACGCTATGAACTCATAACATCATATGAATAGGATTAAGGATATCATGTAAAACTTTATCACAGATATGTTATATATATTTACAATCAGTTAGTGATTTGTATAGTTAACAGTAGTAGTACATCGCTTCGAATTATGTTGGGGAAAGACACTGAGTTGATCGAAAATCCGTACACATGGTACAATGTGGCTGTATGAGGGCTCTGCGAGCTCTGTACACGCTTCTGCTACATGATCAGCTAGCGACTTATGCATGGAAAACGCGTTCCTGGGGGGGACGCGCCCCGATACTACTATACCGATTAAAGCCAAACCTGAAAACACCCCTGAACCGCTGCAGCCGCGAGTAGTTCCTAAATTTAAAACATTTATACATAACCGATATACTTAATATAACCTGGCGAACCTAGAACATATTCTAAATGATTGAAATGTCTGTTATTTCTAATATGGCCGAAGAAGGCGCTCAGAAACGTGGTAGGCTGGTAGTCGTAGCCATGATAGCCCTAAAACATGAAGCTTTAGCATTATTCTAAAATAAATATAATTAAAATACCTACCAGGATAGTGTAAGATATTCCCGTATCAGGATAGGACAAGCCTTGTGGAACTTTTCGAAATGGTATGTTGACTGTCTTTAGCACTGCGAAGTCATTAGCCTTGTTTATGTACTCCAAACTGACGAGCATAGGCCTATCATCTTGATCAAATATTTCGAACTTGAATCCTTCCGGAAGGCCTTCTGGTAGACAATGAGCTGCCGTTAATGCGTACTCTTTTTCGGCCACAGTGACACAAGATCGAATTGTGCTAATATTCTCAAAAGATCCAGACTCTGTTTTCATCAAAATCGAGTAATAAATAAATTTTCCTAATTTCAGAACGTATTCTGCCTGGCTTTCTGTCAAGTCTGGAAGAGAAACGGATTTTAATTTTTTGTTTCAAACACAAAATATTTTAGAATATATATTCACGAAAATTCAACTTCGAAAAGTTTTAAAAAACCGTACTTTGAATTTCCACTGGTTCTTCATCATCTTCTACTCGTTTTCGTTTAGAACCGGGCTCTGAAATAATTCACACGAGAATGTTAAACAAAGAGCACAATGAAAAGTAACTTTTACAAATTATGTAGAACTTTGCGAAATACTTTTTACTCACTTGGATGAGAAGTGGAAGAAATTGATGTGACTTGGCGAGAGCGTCGCTCTTCTTCCCAACATAATTCAAACTCCGCACCTGCCCATTCCAATACTAATTCAAAAATGAAATCGTTTTCTTCTCTGCGACAACTAAAAATGAAAATTTCAATCAAACTTGCTAAAGAAAATCGAAGTATCTCAATAAAACTTTAAAAACCTACTTCAAGGCTATTTCGTTATGATACAAACAGATTGTGACGTCTTGCTCAAGTAGGAAAGCTCTTTTGAGTGTTGTTTCGCTTACTGTTCCCTCATTTTTTGCTGCAACTTTGACAGTACGTCCACCACCTTTAACAACTATATACTGAAAATAAGATTGTAAACTAGTAAGACAAAATATCAACAAATCATACCGAGCCCATGTTGATAGAAATAGCTTTGATCTGGAAATATCAATAATTCATGATTGTTTTAAAACATTAGGAAGAGAAGATCAATTTTGCAATAGAAAAAGTTTTTTCAACAATTCATCCCAATGCAATAAATCGAAACATAAATCCACAATAAAAAAACCTCTGGATCTTATGCTTTATTTCCATCAAAGAAATTAACATTAAGAATTATTATTGAGTTACGGTAAAAAAAAATTTGCGAACTGCCGCATGATTTTGTGGGCGGAGCTTAAATGTAGGGGGTAAGGAAGAACAGAGCCTTTTACTTTGGAAAAACGAAAAGCGTGCGCAAAAAGGAGTTTCCTCGGAGTTATGTGTATTACATACTTATTGCTTCAGTGTTCGAATATAACGGAATTTATAACTTAAAAATGACAGGTATCTCATGTTTGTATAAATTCTTACTTTTCTGATGAAAAATAATTTTTAAAACTGGAAAAAAATGTCAAAAAGGAGAAAATAATGATCATCACGGACGGAGAATCACGAAAGCAACGAGACCTATAGGAGAAAAATATTCTTTTTTCTACTCAAAAGAGTTAATAGAAGAAATCTATGTTGTCAGTTTCCTGCCTTCCACACGCTTCACTCTCACAACCCTTCTACTCTAGCCCACCGCGTTTGCGTGTCGCGTAGCGTCCGCCTAATTCAACTAGAGAAAATGTGTGATCTACATATT